AGAGGCAACTCCCCCCCCAAAAAAAACAACAACAACAAAGAACAACCCCTAACCAACCAACGAACCAACCAACCAACCAACCAAGCAAACAATCAAACAAACAAACAAACAAACAAATAAACAAACAAACAAACAAATAAACAAACAGACAAACAAACAAACAAACAAACAAATAGCAACAACAACACAGGGGTCTAATTCAGCTGAAATATTCACCGAACTTTTCCTATGGTCATTTCTCTGCAGCTCCAGTCTTGTGCGGATGCTGAAGGGCTGGGCCCACGACCAGTCGTCTTTCTCGGGAACGGAATGGAAGTCGTCTGTGATACAATCACGGATGGCGGAGGTTGGATCGTTATTCAGGTGAGATCAGCATTACTTTATCGTTATTCAGATGAGATCAGCATTATTATATGGTTATTCAGGTGAGATCAGCTTTACTTTATCTTTATTCAGGTGGGATCAGTATTACTTTATCTTTATTCAGGTGGGATCAGCATTACTTCATCGTTATTCAGGTGGGATCAGCATGATTATATCTTTATTCAGATGAGATCAGCTTTACTTTATTGTTATACCAGTGAGAGCAACATTATTTTACCGTAACACAGGGCAGATTAACATCATTTTTTTTTGGTAACACAAGTGAGATCAATATTAGTTTAACGTTATACAGGCTGTTACAATACAGGCAATATCAAATTATGTTATTGAAATACAGGCTGTTACAATACAGGCAATATCAAATTATGTTATTGTAATACAGGCTGTTACAATACAGGCGAGATCAACATTATTTTACGGACTGGTACAATACAGCTCGGCTGTGAATGCTGGACCATCACTAAAGACGGTGAAAATAAAATAGACTACTAAGAGTATCGTGGAAGGAAAAGAAATCAAATGAGGTAGTGCTTGATGAAACCCACGTGGCTCACTCAATGTTAAAAACAATCAGGAAACGACAAATGCAGTTTTTGGAACACCTGAATAGACATAAGGGTCTTGAACATCTAGCTCACACAGGCAAAATTGAAGGCAAGCGAGGCAGGGGTAGGCCCAAAACGACATACTTTGGGAACCTAAACAAATGGATAACAGGGAAAGATCAGGGAAACGTAGCTTTTTTTTTTAGAGCAACCGAGCAAAGAAATGAAAGGAGAACCATGATCGCCGATGTCTGTCGCAGATCTGACACTGGATAATGATGATGACAATACAGGTGAGATCAGCATGATTGTACTGTGATAGATCTACATGCTGATACAAGAGGAAATAGGTGATACAATATTATTTATGTTTTTGTGCAAGAGCAAATAATAAAATGTTATGGTTGTGGACTTCTAAAGCACGGGTAATTTTGCTATCAATCCCAGACAGAAAACTGACTAAAATTCCTTGAAACTAAATTACGGTATTAAAAAAAATAAACGTTTGAAATTTTTAACGTTGCTGTTTTACAGTCCATTTATACAATACAATTTAGATCATTTATGGGG